AACCGATGGCCGGATGAAACCGCGCCTGCAAATCAATCCGGCGAGTCATAGGGATACAGCATACTTACGGATGACACCGGGGCAGCTTTGACCTACATACCTTCTCAAGTCGAGTGTATATTACTCAAAACGACGTTACTGCACCAAAGTGGTGTGCCGATTTCGAAGAAGAGCCTAATAGGGTGCCTGACTGTTCAATACCTAACAAAGATGCAGATGGTTCTCTTATCGCGGAGCATGGCACTGACATGTATAGATGACGCTCACCTCGATCCCCCTTGGTTTCTGCGCCACAGCAAGCAGTTGCATCTTTTAGCGGCTCTATCGCAGTGTCCGACACTCTTCCGCCATAAGCCCCTTATCAATTTTTGTAAAGGCGGATGTTCCGAATATGACATTCCAATGTGGTGAATAAGGCGCATTGAGGCCTCCTTACCTTAAAGAGTCTAGCGTACCTATCCGGAATGTAGGCTGTGAAAGATGGATAGCCATTGGCTGCTCAAACTTTGTGGAATGCTTAAGCAATTCAGAAGTCGTTCTCGAACCCCAGATTAGGGTGATTGTTTTTATTTTCATTTAATCTCCGACGGAGCGATTTTCAATGCGTGCTTACCCTCGCGCTTGTCATCATGGGACTCTTACAACCCTCGAGGCCCTGGCAGCGCCGTGTCCAAATTTCCCAGGACAGTGGAGGTAATGTTAAGGCGCGTTTCTCTGCATTGGAGTCTCTATTCCTAATCGCAGTTCCTTTTCTTTGTCGCCCATTTGGTTTAACAAGGACTCTTCTCGGTGCTGAACATCCGATTTTACGAATACCCCGGAAAGGCTATACCGAAAACATCTCGCAACAAAGAAAATCGGCACCTCGGCTGTTGAAACAGTCACTTCCAATTGATCAGTTGCCGCGTGGCCGAGCGGACGCTCCAAGTACTGGAAACGAACTTGTAGCCTCTTACCCAAAGCGGCATCTGGGGCTTTGGAACTCGTCTTCGTACCTGGTGCTGAGGCGCATCTCACCTTGTACCGAACGCTCTGAAAGAACCCGCGGCTTGTCTCTCATATCTTTATACCAGGTGCCTCCCAACTCGTCAGACGACTGACTGCTAGGGTATCCAACCAACATGTTCTTCGGTCGTTTCTACCTGGCAGCTGCGGCGGTCGCACTGTCCCATATTGGAAATGTTGATGCCTTCTGGCGAATGAATTGTGGTGCGGTACAGGTTGGACGAGTCGACCCTATCGTCAATCCTGGTGCTGTCTCGGCACATGCTCATCTTGTCGTCGGAGGCTCTAGTAAGATGCCGTGGTTGCGGGACGAGTAAACAACAGGCTAACGTGAAGAATAGATTTTGGCGTCAACTCCACCTACTCGAGTCTGCTGAACTCTCAATGCTCTTCCTGCGAGGTACAATCGGATAAGTCGGCTTATTGGAGCCCTCTTCTGTACTATCAACATCCGAATGGCTCCTTCGAAGAGGTACCCCACGGTGGTAGTGTCGTCTACTATCTCAGTCGTGGACCAAACCAGGACAATCTCACCCCGTTCCCGAAGGGCTTCCAGATGATTTCCGGCGACAAGACTCTGCGGTCCTACAACGATACCAACCTAACATGGGGCAACTCAACGTATCCGCCTCGTCCAATCCAGGACGCCGTTCAATATGCTTGTCTCTCGGAGGTTCTAGGACCCGGTACTCCCGGTCTTATGAACACGAGCTACGTCAACACCTGCGTCAACGGGTTGCGCGCCCAGATTCACTTCCAATCTTGCTGGGACGGAAAGAATCTGTACAAATCCGACAACAGCCACGTTGCGTACTTGTCTGACATGGACAACGGCGTTTGCCCCCCTGACCATCCATACCAGTTCGCCCACATTTTTATGGAGGTAAATTACGCTGTGTCACAAGTCTCGAACAACACAGATGGTGGACAATATGTCTTCTCCATGGGAGACGCTACAGGGTACGGTTTCCATGCGGATTTCCAGAACGGTTGGGACTCTTCTGTCTTAAATCAAGCACTCAAGAATTGCGCCAGCACTGATAGTGTTGATTCTTCTGGCGTCATTCAGGATTGTCCGATTCTCAACCAGAGCGACGATGTGCAGTACTCCTTCAACTGCCCGGAGAGGCCAGCCGAAATCTCGGAACCTGTGCATGGAATGATTGCCAAGTTGCCAGGCTGTATCACCGTCACGTATGGTCCTGAACCGGCTACTGCTGCGGATATGGAATGTGGTGCTGGAATTAAACAGCCAACTATTGTCAAGACCGTGGACTCTGTACCACTTCCGACTTCCACCGCCGCGGTTGGCGCGTACTTTGGCAACAAGTACAACACATATCTGGGCTGCGGCAATGACACCTACGGCTCGTTCATGCGGACCCTGAATGCTCTTACCACTACCGACACTGCATCGATGACAGTGGAGCTTTGCCAGTCATACTGCACCAAGCGTGGATACCGTTACTCCGGTCTAGAGGCCGGAACCCAGTGTTGGTGCGACGTTGCCGTCAATCCCACTGCGCTGCTCAACTACAGCAACGTGGCGTATCAGTGTGATCACAAGTGTCCTGGCAATTTCACAGAGTACTGCGGCGGTGGCCAATTCATGAGCGTCTACAACAATACTGACCCCTCCTTCGTTCCAACGACGGACCTGTCGAACTCCGTCTATCAAATGACCGTAACGCCCGCCCCCTACGCCAAAAACTACCTGGGCTGTGCAAGCGAAGGGACGAACGGGCGCGCTCTTAATGGCACTACCTACTCGAGCACCAACATGACCATCGAATCCTGCGCTAAATTCGCAACCGTCACAAACAACTATGCTCTCTACGGGCTAGAGTATGCGAATCAATGTTGGGCAGGCAATGCTCTGGCTTCCGGCTCGCAGATCATCGACAATCTCACTGCGCCTGTCATTGGAGTTGATTGCGACATGCGCTGTACCGGTAACTTCAGCGAGGTTTGCGGCGGATTTGGAACACTTTCTGTGTATAACAACACGGGCTACAAGGCACCCGCTGTCCAGGCGAGTGTGGGCAAATACCTGAGCAAGAAGTGCTTGACCGAGGGCACCTCCGGCCGCGCACTCCAAGGTACCATGACCAGCAACCCGAGCATGACGGTGGATATGTGTGTGAAATACTGCTTGGGCAAGAGTATGCATTACGCAGGGTGTGTCTCTTTCCGATGGTTTCTTTGTCCCGCTTCCCCCTGTCCTTCCCTTTTCCCACCACTCGCTAGGCATGGAAGTGTGCTAATACATATTCTACAGCTTGGAATACGGTACCCAATGCTTTTGTGGCAATTCCGTTGCGACGTCTGCAGGAGCGAAGGCGATTGACTGCCCAATGCAAGACCTGATGCTATGCCCGGGTAACTATTACCAGTACTGTGGTGGATCCAACTTGCTGAACTTGTATTATTCGTCTACCTTGTGAGAAACAAGCAGATGAGCGTATCGATGAGTGGGTTTCTATCTGTATATATACCAAATTGCAATAGTTGTTGTGCTGGGAAAGGTGCTTGTGCAGTCCGTCGAGCTTCGTACCGAGACATGACATGCGAGTGAGTAAAGTCGCTATACATTGGATTGCCTCTCCCCATGACAATAATTGAGCTTCCATAGAGCTCTGCTATGTGTTCGGGCACTAAATGTCTAGACGTCTAACGCATCTACAAGTGCGGTCTGAGGTGTCCATGCGAGCTCCATGCCAAGACTTGGTATACAGTAAGCGAAGCGGCCACTGATCGGACCCTTCCTCATCCGCCGCCACTATTGGAAGCCTTGCGCAATGCAACATGAAGCCTTTACGAAGACGGAGAAATTGGGCCCAGTCAATGCCATCATACACTGCAGCGTTGGAACTGACTCCAGATGTCCCGTCTGGGTCGGAATAACATCAGTTGAGTCGTGACATCATGAACCCGGATTAGGCCTGGTAGCATCCATGGATTGCAAGCAGGAGCGTCATGCAGGTGCTACAAGCATGTGACGGCCACATGCATTCGGAGGTGCCTAACTCGACTCTTTCTCCTACATATAAACCCGTTCTCTTCCCAACACCATCTTCAATTACTTCCCTATTACAATGTTGCGCACCATCACCAGAAACACCGCCACTAGGACCGCCTTCACCTTCAGACCAGCATCCGTGAGCATCAGAAACATGTCCGACAACAAACCTCTTAAGGCCGTCTCCGACGCTGCACAACAGGCCGGCGAGGCGAAGGATACCAACCCACAGGTAAGATCTATACCTCCTTCGCATCTCCGGCGCCAGCGCTAATATCACTCAGGACCCATCAGTCATCTCATCTGGCGGTGCGGTAGGAAAGCAATTCAACCGTAGGTCAACACCACTGATCGTATCTCAATGGCTACTGACATTAGGCACCAGCGGACGGCAACATCGGCCAGATTGGCGAGAAGATTGGAGGCCCATTCTCCAAGGACGGAGCAATCGGAAGTCAGTTCGACGCATCGAAGGATGGCATCGCTGGTCACGTCGAAAAGGCTGTGGATGGACCAAGCAAGCCAGCTACTCAGAAGAAGTAGAGGTTTCAAAACGGATATTGTACAATAGCGAAATGAGAACACGATGATCTACCTACCTATGGCTGATGGAATACATGGGTGATGTGTATGCATAACATACGAAGCTTTGTTGATGTGCGACTCTCGTATCCCCCAATCCAAACTGACGGTAACGAATGAGCCCCTCCATTTCGAAGTGATTGAGATCGTATATGCGTCTCTGTGATCTCTGATGAAGCCGTTGACATGTACGTACTGCGCCGTTTCATCGGCTCGGACTGCTATTAGTTGCTTCAACGCAACCACTCTATTGCTGCATGGGGTCCCTGGATTCTTCAAAAAGGGTACACGACACCCTGATGATAGCTGTGATATAATGTATGCTTGCTCTGCTTCATCGGAAGCAGCCAGTCGACCTATCCAGACAACCCTTGTCAAGGAGCAAAAAAAATGCTGGTGTGAACGAGGTTCGAACTCGCGCGGATTGCTCCAGCAGAGTTTATGTATAGAAGTACTTAAATCTGCCGCCTTAGACCACTCGGCCATCACACCGTCAAATTGTGTTCCACCGATCCACCTGAATTCGGTAGACCGATTATTAGCCGAGACGCAAGATAGAATATGTTCCTACACATCCCCTACTTCCAGATAACGAAAGCGGACAATGGTACATGTACAGCTACGCTTCTCGAACGGAACAGCCACTCAATGAATATTGAAAGTTATGACCGAGGTCTTCAGCGCTATCATTGCTATGGAGTTCCGTCGTAAACGCCGGCCAATGCAGCAAATATAGCAGCCGGCGTATCGACGTGGTGTGCATAACGTCCTACCCGTGTTTTGGGAAGTCATCGAGGGTCGTTTCATTCATTGTCAACCTGAAAGCCTTGCGCCAACGTCTGTCTTCTGAGCCAATGTTGTCCCCATTGGTCCACCTCTATGCCTCGTTGAAAAGTCGCGCAGTGATGTCGCCCATGTACTCCTCCTCCAGCTCGTAGTCCTCTCCGTCTCTCTTGTCGATATCGAAGTACTCAAAAGCAGATACAACGGTGGGCACGTCGAAGCCCATGGCTGTGAATCGGTCTATGAGCTGCTGATTGTAGCCATGATACCTGTCTCAAGATGTCAGTCGTACATTTCTGGTCAGCACGCATACGGGAAGCTGAACATACGCTGCAACTTTTGCGGCCTGCTCCCGCTCTTTCATCCTCTCTTCCTTCTCCTTCAGGCTCTCTGCAGTAACACCGCCGCTCCCGCCAGCATCGGTTGATCCGCTACCTGGAGCTCCGGCAGGTGCTCCGGCATACTTGATCGCCCACTCTCGCGCCACATGCTCAAACTCTTTGGGGTTTGTAAGGAGCATTCTTGCGACCTCTGCATCTTGAGGGTCCTTCGGTTCTGGAGAGGAGAGGAGTGACTGCAGGGAGATAAGAGCGTTCTTCAGCGTTATAATGGGTGACCAGGCCTTTCCGAGCGTGTCTAAGCAGATTGCACCCTAATACATCTCATGAGCAACTATACCACGCGGGATGATAGCCTCGACCTACAGTTTGACTGGAGATGTTTGGGTGCCAGATCTTGGTTGTGAACTTCATGACAGGGGGCTGAAACGGGTATTCCGACGGTATCCTTATATCGACATAGTACTTTGCACCCTCGTAAGCCGTGTCTGGTGGTCCGACGAATACGCCTTTGAAGTGTGTCATATCATCGAAGTTGGTGGGTCCAGCACTGGAATAAGACTCGAGAGCAACACCAGCACCAGGATCTGCCTGGACCTCTTGGATCTCTTTCGCCAAACGGCGGAGACGGTTGGAAGACATGCCCGGAATGTCGTCGTGTGTATATGTGCCTAACTCTTAACCAGGTGTCGCCTGATCACTGCCTCACAGCGGCACGATAGATAATGGACCGGCCGTTACCAAGTCCGAAGCTCTAGTATTCTAACCGCGCAATGTACCGGTATTGGTGGATATGTATCTGTGAGTCTGCTTCGTGGTACGTTAGCCTGATCGGCCTGGGATATCCGAACCAGGCCCCACGTTAAGGCAGAAGGCTGGAAGAAGAGGATGTGGAAGAAGTGCAATCGGGAAGTGACGGTTCGATATGTTCCGCTGCAGCGGGAAGGGCGGTACCAGTAACACAAGCCTTTCACCTTTAATTGTTGCTCGAGGTTGTGAACGTGATCTCGAGTACCATGCTACCAAGAGCTGTGTTGGTGATAGCATGCTAGGACATTTGGCGCTCGGGCCAGTCGTCGGGCCATCGACAGTTGCTCCGTGAAGTCCAGAAGTCGTGACACACTACGTCGCTCGCCGCGTTCTGAGAGCTTCATCACATCACCAATCAAGCAACATCCGCCTCTCTGCCGTCAACCCATTCCACCACCGTACCGTTCATCTTCATACCAGACACTCCATCTAGCAGCGCACTTACGACGTCGAGTGACTGCTCTCACCGCTCTTCCCAAACCCATATAGGCAGTCGCCATGGTAAGCTGTCGACAGGCACATGGTCCCTTATCGGGACAATGACTGACCAGCAACATAGGGTGCGAACCAGTCCGGACTTGGTGGAGGGCCACCAGGTCAAGGTGGAGATAGCAAGGACAAGAAAGACGCGAAGGTACAACTCATCTCAGGCTGGAGCCCTACGCCTGCGCTTCCTCCGTCTTCGCAAGCTAACCATCGTATCTCCATCACAGAAAGACAAGCCAAAGTACGAGCCACCACCACAGCCCACCACGCGCATCGGCCGCAAGAAGAGAAAGCAAGCTGGTCCAAATGCAGCGGCCAAATTACCCACTGTCTACCCAACCGCGCGATGCAAGCTCCGATACCTGCGCATGCAGCGCGTTCACGACCACCTGTTGCTAGAGGAGGAATATGTCGAGAATCAGGAACGTATCAGAAAAGCCAAGGCTGCAAACACAGCACAACCGGCCAGCGCCGGCGGCGAGAGTGACGCCATCGATAGGAACGCAGACGAGAGAAGCAGAGTTGATGATATGAGAGGTAGCCCTATGGGCGTCGGTACTCTCGAGGAGCTCATCGACGATGATCACGCTATTGTCTCCTCTGCCACTGGCCCTGAATACTATGTCAGCATCATGTCGTTCGTTGACAAAGACCTTTTGGAGCCTGGCGCGAGCATTCTCCTGCATCACAAGTCCGTTTCCGTCGTTGGTGTTCTCACAGACGATGCCGACCCTCTGGTTTCTGTCATGAAACTTGACAAAGCACCTACCGAGTCATACGCAGATATTGGTGGATTGGAGCAGCAGATACAAGAAGTCAGAGAGGCTGTGGAACTGCCTTTGCTACACCCTGAACTGTACGAGGAGATGGGTATTAAGCCACCAAAGGGTGTTATCCTATACGGAGCTCCAGGTACAGGAAAGACTCTGCTCGCAAAGGCCGTCGCAAACCAAACCAGCGCCACCTTCCTTCGCATTGTGGGTAGTGAGCTTATTCAAAAATACCTCGGAGACGGTCCTCGTCTGGTTAGGCAGCTCTTCCAGACCGCCGCAGAGCATGCACCCGCTATTGTGTTCATCGATGAGATCGACGCCGTGGGAACGAAGCGTTACGAATCGACGTCAGGTGGAGAGCGTGAAATCCAGCGGACCATGCTGGAGCTGCTGAACCAGCTCGACGGTTTTGATGACAGAGGAGATGTGAAGGTCATCATGGCGACAAACAAGATCGAAACCTTGGACCCCGCGTTGATCAGACCTGGTCGTATTGACCGCAAGATTCTCTTTGAGAACCCTGACCGTACGTATCACGTTACCGAAATCTTATTATATGAGGAAGCCGTGCTAACTTTCACCACAGAGGTCACCAAGAAGAAGATCTTCACCTTGCACACCTCGAAGATGTCGCTTGCGGAGGATGTAGACCTCGATGAGTTCATCAATCAGAAGGACGACCTTTCAGGTGCCGATATTCGCGCCATCTGCTCTGAGGCTGGTCTCATGGCGCTGAGGGAGCGCAGGATGCGCGTGAACATGGCAGACTTCAGACAAGCTAGAGAGAACGTTCTCAAGACGAAGCAGGAGGGCGAGCCTGAGGGACTGTACTTGTAGGCTACTCACAAGTTCTATGTGCACGGTCGGGATGAGACAGGTACGAAGGGGACTGCACGGTGTAACAATAGCTTATAGGCGCATGGCGCAACGAAGTAATCAGCAGACCGCAAGTCTTACGGCGAATTGACATGACACAAATGCTTGACTCAACGGTACCCGGTTTCCTTGGTGAGCAGTATATGTGTGCGCTCCCATGAGTCAAGTAAGCAATCATTCCCTCGAGCTGTATCTTGCAGCTGAGACTTAGGGGAGTTGGGCCGCCGATATAGTCTCCAACCCCGCGATCTATCTGCCTGCCTTTATCAACTCACGCATTGAACCGCAAAGCGTCCTCTATCCGGAACCAAGACGTCTCGAGTACTCGGTAAAGATGTCTCGAGTCCCTTCCATCCATACCAATGCATGCAACCAACAGCTCTCGGCCATCTAGACGATAGAGATAGCCCTGTGACTCAGTTTAGCTTGTACGCCTAGCAAAGTCGACCAAAATCCCTCACCTTGCTGTTCGGAACCGGACCCTGGATGGGAAAGAACATCTCCGGAGTCTCTAATTCGGTCAAGACACTTAGCTCAGGCAGGTATAGGTGATACTCCATGACATCGTTCCGCAAGTCCGCTCGGATGAGCTGATGGAACTGGTCCTGGAGATTGAGGAGTGTTCTGGAGGGTATGCTATGCCGCACGACAGGGGTGAGGAGCTGGTAAGCCGCAGTGTTGCCTATCTCGCGTGCGATCTCGGCGGCGGTCATGTCGCGATACGGCAGCTCGTCTGGATCTGTCCATCGGGTTTTCAGGGTCCCTAGCATGTGACATAAGTATAGCTTTGCGCGGATTGGGAGTTGTCGTCCTTACTGAAGGCGCCCTTCTCGACCATCTTCCGGATCTGTTCTTCAGGGGCGAAAAGAAAAGCGGCTTGATGGAGAGGTGTCCATAGCGAAAGACCATGACGTCCCTCCCACGCTTCTGAGTGTGCTTCAGCATCTGGGCTCGAGATATCCAAGCCACTTACTCAGTCTCGGTGCGTTGATCCACGGCTCATTGAATCGCCTGGAACCAGCCTGAAGAGCCTGGTCTAATCCCTCCCAATTTCCCATGTATGCAGCATCGGATACGGCGTGTCGAAGATTGATATACGTGGTGGAGAAGCCCTTTGTAAGAACATAGCCTAGCCAGACCGGAGAGTGATGTGATGTGGCAGGCACAAGAGTCTTTGGGTTTCCGATAGCGAATTGGTCCGCTCCGGCGAATGATTGCAGATCTGTGGGTGATCGAGTCTGAGGAGGCACGTTGATCGCCGAGGAGTCCACGTTGCTGCCTGCCTGGGAATATGCTGGAGGGGCTGAGGTCACTGTTGCAGTATCATCTCGAAGACTGAGGGCATCAAAAGGCTCCACGATCTCTGAGTGGCGAATGATGCGTTCCCGTATGAACCGGACGTCGCTTTCTGTTCTGACGCTGCTTT